CTGGCTCATTAATCAAAAAAACTCAAAAACTGAGTATGAGTTAAACAAAGATTGCTTTTCAGTAAATTTCAATTTAGAACCGTTTGATGTATACGAGAAAAATGATTCATTTCTACGAATTTCGAATGAGTTTTGCGTTGAAGACTCAGTTCCAAAAGAACCTATTACTACTGAAGACATTTGTTTAAGCGATTACATATTTAATTACAGATCTACAGTTGCTAAAAACCAAGATCAGGCTCGAAAAACTTTGTTGTTTACTCCTCACATAGTTCTCATATTATCCACAAAAGAACTCACGTTCACGAAACAACAATATTCGTTCGACCAGTTTTTCACGGAGGACCGAGTTGTTATTTTATTGCCTACGTGCGACAATAAAAAAGAAAACTGGCAAAGATTTATAACAAATTACGCACTAATCATTGTCAAAAATAACGTTGTCGATGTTTTAGCCAGTGGATCAAGCATAGGCTCATTGCAGAATAAATATTTATCTTATACTGATAATCCACACGCAAGCCCTGTTTGTAATGATCTGATGAAAAAAAAAGTCTTTGCAAAGACGGATTGTTTTGCGAATGATAAATCCGAGCTAGACAATGATTTCAACTTTAATGAAGATACCCTAAATCAACAAATCAGTCAATTTAATAACTGCTTCAAAAACAATTCTTACTATATTTTAATATATTTGTTAAGAACGCTGAACAAAGACGACATTAGGAAAATTTGGTTTTTATCAACTTCCATTACAAACCAAGCGCTTGTAGCACGTTTTCCAATTAATTATTATTTTAACGTGTCGTTGCTATCAATATTCTCGTTTTATCTCGTGTCAAACGTTTGGGGGACTTTGGTAATTACAATGAGTATGATATTCTTTCAGAACAGAATTGATTTGAACTGGGTGTTGAACTCAATGCTATCGTTTTACTATTTTCCTTTTTTGCTAGGAGTCTCCATCACCAGTGCTGTTTTAACATTTTCTACTTTACGATTACTGACTAAGTTTACACATAGCTGTGTGAAAAAAAAAAAATCCGCAAACTTTCTTCTTGGGAGTCATACGATCGTCATACTTTTGCTGAGTCTGTTTAATGTGTTAAACTACATGGCAATATTTGGTTTTAAAATAACGTTCACCCCATCAAGCTTTGTCAAGTTTAATTTACTGTGTTCTACAACAATTTTCATTCTCACTGTTATGCTCAGTGAAACAGAAAAGTGCATATACAGCAAATGTTACCTGTTTAAAAATTTTTCAAAAAAAGACCAGGTTGACTTGCTAAGCTTGTTTCCAATAGATAAAGTTTTGCGCGAGCAATGTAATATAGATAAAAGGTAAAAATTTTTATAATTAACAATGGTGTAAAATTTTATAATTAATCAACAGCTGTGAGCGTGTTCAAAATTAAATTCTGGGAACTATCATCGTTGAGCTCGAGCTTACCACGTAACAATGCAAGCAAATTTTCGTGTTTAGTCTCTTTATAAATGAACATTAAAGAATTGAGATGTCTTTTTTCCACAACGTTGAGGCTCGATAAATATTCATATAATAAGTCAAACAATTTTCTTTCAGAAAGTAATAATAAGACGTTACTAGACAACTTCATCTGAGTCGGATTTATATTATCGTATAATATATTGTCAATATTTGGTATGGCGATTTTGCTAAAGTATAGTTCAGCAAGATTGTTGAGAACTCGTTCGGTTTTTGCCACTAAGTTGTTTTCGTTTCGCAAAACGGTTTCAATCATGCGGAGGATAGAATTTTCGCGTTTGTATGCGTGTAATTCGAGTATTAATTGGCTAAGAGCGGCGCAAACGAGTTCAAAAAAAAGCATGTCAGAAGTTGTCAGATATAGATTGAACTCAGAAACCAGCGCTCTTTGAGTCTCCGGACAATTAGAAGTAATAATGGTCTCCTTGAAAAACTCTTTCAAAAAAAATAATTTGTATCGCTTGATGTAGAAAAGGTCGCTGTCTCTCACAAAAAAACTATGAATCTGATCGAGAAAAACCGAAAGCGTGTATTTTGGGTATTTTTCGTAGTAAGTAACAAGCTTGTTCAGCACAATGTATAATTGTTCAGGGTTAAGAGTGTTTAAGAACGAAAGATTCGCCGGAAGAATGTTTTCCGTTATGATCGTTTTGACAAATTCTTCTTGATTTCTTAGACTATCAAGGAGCTTAAATAAAAAATCTGTTAAAGTTGACACGACGACAAAGCTAGAATGAGTCAATCTGTGCTTCAGTTTGTTAACAAGCTCGTTGCACTCACTCTGGGACGAGAACGGATACCGTTTCATGACAATGTTGTGGATGTAAGCTTGGCCGTACTCAGTGCATGTAGACATAAATAGAATCAAGTGAAGCATTAGTTTGTGGTCAATGACAAAATTGTCGCCATAAATAAAATCAAGCGTAGTTAGTGTAGCCGCTATAACTATTTGATTGTATTCTTTGTATAGCAGTTCTTCCAAAGTGGCACGAGTAGTGTCTAGTTCGATTATCGACGGATCAAAACGATATATTTTTCGCAAACACATTATTGCACAATTGCGGACGTACGCATCGTTATCTTTGATCAACTCCATCACCGTGTTCAACGTGCATTCCAGCGAATTTTCTGTTAGCAAGTTTCCCAAACTGCGGATGGCTTGTCCGCGGATTATCGGATTAACGTTTTTGCAGTCCACCAACAATCGGTTGACTGAAAGAATCAACTTGTCTGCGCATTTTTGCGAAATAAAGATGAAATACATGTTTATCAACTGCTTTATTTCAATCGATTTTGTCATGCTGCAGTTTAGAACACTCGTGAACGCTGAGGAAACGTCTTTGTTTTCCAAAATGCATTGGATCAGGCGTTTTAAAGCCTTTTTTTTGTCAGAATTAGAATTTGAGTTTAACAGGCTGATTGCCTCCGCTAAAGTGGATTCTTCATCTTTTTTGGAATCGCTCGCTAAATTGTTAATTAAGTTTGGTATATTTGTGGCGATCGACGTAAGCTTAGATTTTATCTTATTAGTCCAATTAGCCATTGTTAAAATGAAATGGGTAAATCGCGATTGCTTCTTTATTTAACTAAATGGTAACACATAGTTAAACTAAACGTTTCTTCCGGAATTTAAGAACGTCTAGCGACAAGTAATAATTAATTCGCAATTATTAACTTTGGATTTTTAACTCCAAATATTTTTGCAGAACTCTTTATTTAGTATTTTTTAATCAATTTCGACCGAAAAACACAGAATTGCACAAATACCGCACAGATTTGCCAAGTCTTCGTGAATTAAAGAGTCTACAGATATTTCCTGCACGTCGATGTGAGAGCAGAACGCCAAAAGTTCTTCGTACTGCTTGTTGACTTTTGGTTCGTTCGAAAAAACTATAGATTCAGATACCATCAGTTCTTTGATCGCGCCTAGCTCGGCCGCTTTCATGACAGTGGGTAAACCATATGCAACTTTGTTGCTGTTGGTAGCTACTAATTTTTTGAACTCGACCATCAATTTTACCGGCTTCAAGTCTACTTTTTTATCGACAAGCGAGACAAAGTTGTTGTCGACCAAGAGTTTTTTTGCTGAAGCCATCTTCACCAAAAGACATTCATAAAATTGGATTTTGCTTGTGTTGCGCTTTATGTCGATTAGAGCGCCATTGTTTTCTTCCTGGAGAAACATAAAAAGTGTTGAGTAAAGTGCACGAGAAGTGCCAGTCACTAAACACTTGATTTGGTTCAGGTCTATTGATGACGTGACGAGTTTCATCAGCGCTAAAAAGCTGTTCTTGCTTTTCTTCGATAGTTGTTTGTAACTACTCGCTGCTTCACATTTGAAAGATAAACAGCCGACATTCGCTATGTAATCTTTAAACACGACATACAGCAAGGCAGAAGTTGAATTGAATAGTAGCACGCTTAAATCAGGCTTTAAGTTATTCGCCGCTTCTAAAATTTTGTAGTGCTTGGCTGTCCAATTTGCCTTAGTGAGGGTTAGATTTGTACCTGCCCCGAGTTCAAAGGCGTGGTATTGACCTAAACTTATATCCGTGTGTTCTTCAACGCACACTCCATTAACGCGAATGGAATCTATTTTCGTGTTGGTACCTCCAGTTTCGCTAGTATCGACGCAATAATCTTTTTTTTTAATCTCAAGAGAAATTGTTATGTGTTTAATTCGCGAATTTTTGCCATCTGTACTGAAAACTTTCCGGGTCGTAGAAGTCCGTATTACATCGTTTATTTCCAACAACCTGTTCAGATACCATAAATCATACTGAGATTCAATCTCTAAAGTCACACTGTCTTTTATAGACGTGATTTTTTTGAATATTTTCATTACGCATATATTTGATGCAGAAAATCTTACATATAAAAAATATCTAGTGCGAATTATTAATGTAAAAATAAATTAGTCGTGTTTAATGACAATAACTCGTGACTTTTCTATTAAATTTTGTTCAAGTTTTATTGTCTCGATTGGAAAGTAATTTTCAGCAGCTTCATCAAGACTGATGTACTGAATCGAAATTCCACACACGTCTTTAAAATTATTCAAAGTCATCGTTTCATTGTTGTCAGAAAAAAGTTTTATCATACTTGCAAGCTCTTCGTGATTGTTAACAAGCTTGAAAAAACAGGACGCTGCAATAATGTTTGTGTACGTTAGACAAGGACTTTTGAACACGTTTAACTGATCGTAAAGTTCGTCATACTTTTCTTTATCATAACGATCTTTGATATCATACTTTTGAAACGTGATTGTAAAAAATTCTTTCGTAATTTTACCTGTTTTACTGATGTCGAACACATTAAATAAAAAATGACTCCATTTTGTTGGCAATGATTCTAATGTCAGTGCATACATAATTATCTGCTCGAAAATATTGAAATTAGCACCGAAAAACTTCATTGCGTTTAAATATTCGCCAAGAATTCTGTAATGCTTAATGGTGATGTTTGTGTCTAGAATGTCTTGATTAATGCAAACATTTCTTAGCCACGGGTGATGCAAAGCGTATTCAGCGTCAGGACGTAACGCGATGTTTTTGCAAAGCAAAGAAGAGATAAAAGATTTGGCTTTATCACTCACGTCATTCCACACTTTGTTTTTGAAATTGAATGAGTTGTTCTTTATTTCGTCTAATATTTGACTGTCTTTATTTCCGTTAAAGGGTGGCATACCACTGAGTAGCATATATATTATGACCCCAATTGCCCAAACATCGCATTTGTGTTGATAACATCCATCGATAACTTCAGGAGAAACGTAATAAACAGTTCCGTGCATGGCTGTCATTGGAATTATTGTGGAAAAGACTCTACCAAAACCGAAATCTATTAACTTTAGAATTTTTTTCCCTAAATCAGAAAACACCCAGTTTTCCAGTTTAAGATCTCTATGACAAATTTTTTGACTGTGGCAGTAGGCAATCGTGGAGAGCATTTGGACGGCAAGCTGTTTAACGTCGCTTTCTTGTAAATGTTGCTTGCTAATTAAATGGTCATACAATTCTTTTCCAGAAGAAAGTTCCATAATTAAAATAATGTTGCCGTCGTCTTCAAATACATCTATTAACCGAGCAATTGATGGATGATCTAGCTTAAGGTAAGTCAAAACTTCGTTTCGAGCCATAGAAGTTTTTTTGTTGTTATGGATATCCGTAGTAAGTGTTTTAACTGCAAAGTATTCACCTGTGTAACGGTTAACAGCCAACCGTACGACGCCGCTAGCACCAGTTCCAATTATGCTTTCTTTTAAATCGTACTTATAGTAAATATCTTGATTTTTATTTTTAAAAACTCTTATTGTATTGATGCAGCGAGGATAATCATTGTGAAAAGTTGATGAATTCAACAGATCATGTTCAACGTGATGTGATGTTAATGAATTACAGGTTTCACTGCCTCCATACATGACAGTTTGGTTCTCTCTAAAGATTTTTTTAAATTCTTCGCCATTTGAGGATTCCCATAATTTCGCGTTATATTTCGTCGTTTTATCCCGATAACATTTTGCTTTGCAAAAACCGTTAATAATTTTACATAGACGATATACCATTTAAAAAAGCTAACTATTTTCTCAATTTATCGAACTAACATGTATCTACTTCGTTCTAGTTATTTATTACGGTGAACAAACATATTTTAGGTAGGCGTACAATAATTGTGTGTAATGTTTCTTTGTCGCACCAAACAAGATTATTAATTACATATCATAAAAGTGAGCTAAATAAATATTCAGAACATTTCAATGTTATAATTTTTCTTCGACAATTATTGCACATAAAAATATTAGTTTTATACATAGTATGGTTGATTTAAGACACTGGAATATTCTTAGAAATTTGGTATTGGTACGTTGCCACACGATTTACGTTTTAGCAAGTATTAACAGAAAATGCTTTTGTGGAGCTACTGCCTTCTTGGCTGAGTGGATATGTGTGTAACCAAAACGACATTGATTCTTTTTTACTAAACTGGAAAATCATTCAACGGCAAATTGAGGAAAAAGTAAGTTTTAGAATCTTTACTTGTTTAAGAAAAACGTATTGAAAATTTCCAATCATTTTGAGCACGCTTTCAATATTCTCATTGAGTCGCGCGTTATCAGAATTTTACAACTATATCAAATTGTTAGAATACGTAAATTATCACTAGACTCTGTGACTCCTTTGACTATTCAAGATAAGAATGCCTCCATTAGAATACTTGAATCCTTAGAGAAAGAATATGCAAAAAATATAGTGAGTTTCCTTTCAGAAGAAAAAATGCCAACGTATGCGACACGAGCCACTGAATCAGCATTTATCGAGTTACCTATGCATTCGTTAACTTTAGACAAGTTGACCACGTCAATCAGTGTTAACACAGAAGATTACATTAAGAAAAACTTAATAAATGACGTAAAAAAAATTATCTACAACGATACTGGTGACAACGAATGCGCAAACAAAAAATTTATTTTTTGCGCCCCGCAAAGTTATTTTCGTCAAGGTTTGTATAAATACAATTTTAGATCTGAAATATAATTTTTTACCCGCCACGAGCTTTTGCTTAAATAAATTTAAAAAATAAGCTTATTATAAAATTAATTAAATATCCTTGGGCGAAGGGCGGTTACAGTGTAGTTGACGTTTATTCGGATACCTGATAATTGCTAATTGAAAACTTCAAGTCCAATTCCTATGCTTAAGAGTCAGTCTTAAGTTAATATTTAAAGCCTATTTTAGGTTCTGATTTTTTTTATGTCTATCGATATCAATCAGTTATTCGTTGAATTCGACTTTATTTTTTTTGAATCTATCGTTTCAAAAGTTTTTAGTTTGTCGTTCAGTAACAAGCTGGTATCGAAAGCCGGAATCTGTGACTACAAAAATTGCATAATAAAGTTAAATAGAAATTTGCTCGATTATTTAAATGAAAAGAGCGTTAAGGAGGTTCTCCTACATGAAATGGTTCATGCTTATATATATTTGGCACACAGATCTCCTGAACATTTAAAACACGGCAAATTGTTTAAAAAATACTCAAAGATTATCAATGAAACTTTGCAGATTAACATTACAGTGACTCATAACTATCATGATGAGGTGTTTCACTGTTCAATATTAAATTTGAAGTCTTGCAAAAGTTGTGGCTTTCACTTCAGTGTGAAAAATAAAAAAGAGCAACTTTTAGGTTTAGTCCACACGTTAATATGTCCAGGTACTTTGGAACGCGGTGTGCAGCCAGCTTTAAAATTCAGTATTTCTCATATCAAAAGTTTACAAAACTATTTATCTTATCACGATTTTACAATTTTGTGTAGATTGATTCAAAAACCAGCCGATTTAATATCTAATTTATCAAACAAAGTTTCATCAGATTTACTTGTGTGCTCCAGGTGTTATTTTAGATTAAATAATCCTTGTGACGCTACACAACAGGCTCACAGGCATTATTGTAAAGGTATTTATATCCTCGACCCATTTAAAACAACGCGTTTTTCGGTTGAAAACTGGGTTTCAAAATCAAAACTTGCAAAGTTAGCGACTAAATATGAAGAAATAAAATTTGAACCACTTGAAGAGTTTTATTTAACCATTTTACATAATGAAATCAGTTTGGAAAAGTAAAATTTATAATTCGTTTATAAAAACTTGTGTATTTGAATTTTTGGTGAGTAGTGATTTTATTTTGGCTGCACCTACGATCCTTTCCATTTCTAAATAATGATACTTTGTATGCCAGTAAATAAGGCATAATGGCTTAATTTTATATGAATTCGCGACACTGTCAGTCACGTCAGCGTTCATTTGTTTAAATAGGTCGTTAAATATAAACGGATTCGTGGGAGGTTCCAGAAATACCAAATGTTTGTAACCTGAAAGTAAATTTCTATGGTAATAATAAAACCTTTCAGAAAGAACCAAAATAGATATTGTTTTCGCTTTCAAATCAGCAATTCGGGACTGCAGTGTTTTTAGGCTGTGTTTTTCACTCACGCATTGAAAATTGTCTGTAGATACACCGGATTTAAGTAATTTTTTAACTGGCTTATAATGAACTTCGTTAGGAATTACGAGCAGAACGGGATCTTCTACGATTTGAGAATGAAATTCTTTAATAAAATGTTGGTAAAACGTAAGGTAAACTTCGTCTTCTAATATGGACATTAAAAAAAGCCCGCTATCGTCTGAAATTTTTTTTGCTTGTTCTCCGACGCTAATAACATTTACTGTAGGAGTGCTTCGAATAAGATTTAGCAGGTAATTTCCATGATAAGTAAATAGTTGTGCATATCCTCGAATGTTTTGAAGCGGGTTAGATAAAATAACGCTGTTTTTAGTGCCAGATAAAAAAATTTCTTGACGCAAGTAGACTGGCGCATTAGGAACATCTTCCTGGAAATAAGACTTCCTAAGCCTGTCAATGCAAAAGTTTTTGCAGTAACTACTTGGCTCTCTGTTGCAAAGTTTTATTATTTTGTCTAAATGTGTAGCATTTTGTTGTTCCAATACGTCTACCTGGCTTGCAACCAAAATTTCAATTGACGATAGCAGTAGCAAGTCATAATCAGATTCATTGTAATTTTGCTCGTAAACAACGTTTTGTTTTTCTTGATTCTTTACTAAAGCTAGGCGAAGTCCAATCGGCGATGCTATAATCAAGGAAGCAGTTTCGAGTGAACAATTGAAATTCATTTTGTTATTGACGATTTTAATTGGCCACAAAAAAATATCGTGAGAATCACCTCGAAACGTGCTAATATAATCTAGACTTTTGGGATTGGAGTTAACTCGTTTGCACATGTGTAGTCCATGCTCGCTTTCACTCAAAACATCTATATTATCAGCTTCGTCGGATCTGTACTCAAAAAGCTTGTCTAAATTTTCTGCTTCTAAATTGGTGAACTTGAAGATGGTATGAGCCCACAAATAAGCGTGAAACCTAGTTGGACAAAGAACCAGAACGCGGGCATTGGCCCAACCTGAGTTTCGATATTGACCGTTTGACATTTCTTCGCTGCAATGTTTAGCATACAATTTATAGCTTAAACAAACTTTATAAAACATTAAATGGCGAGCAATGTGCATGGCAGTAAGTGTTTGATAAACGTCAAATGTTAAGAAGTTAAAATTAGTTAGATACACTGATTTGTAGTCAGTCATGAGCTTGAAAAAAGTTCCGTAGTCAATATTATTATTTAAGTACTTCGTTAGTTCTGAGGAAGTTTTGATATTGCTGTCCAAACTTAATCCCATTGAGTTCAAACATATATGCACAGAAGAAATTTCGTCTAACTTTTTAGTTTGATACACGGGAGATTCGTTCAATATAGTTTCATAAAATGTACGATGCTTAAACAAATAGTGCTTTAAAACGGACAGAAAACTTGAAGGGCACAACAGTTCGTCAGATGTGAATTGCCATCTAAGAATATTGAAGTCTAAAAATTGTGGCGGAAATTTATAATTATCATTACTTTTGATAGAAGCTTGTTGATAAAATGAAGACGATTTTGATCTACAGTAGTCATTAAAATGAAAACTTACTCTATAAACCGATTTGTTTCCTCGGGATCTACAGTGGAATCGAAACTAATAAATCTTAAAAAAAATTTTTCTATCCATGCTTCATCATTCATATGGGGAAAGCAAAATCAATAATAAAATATTTTTTAAAAGTTTAAAATTTTTTTAAAAATAAACAAAAAATATATAAAAATATTTTGGTTGTTCGTTGTCCTAATTAATTTTGTTATAGAATGCCTCAAAATGAATATATAGAACTACACCAAAAACGATTTGGGAAGCGTTTTGACCATGAAGAAAGACTGTAAGTTGGTAAAAAGCTGGAATTTACTTTAGTCGTAAGAAACAAGCCAGATTGCCCCATGAAATAAGCAGGAAGTGCAGGAAAACTAGAAAGTTGAAGGCCAAGATTTTGAATCGCAAGAGATTTGTTGAAAAGATAGAAATTAAGAAAAAACTTAAGCAGTCAGAGGTTAAAGAAACAGAGCCAGAAGCTGTTATATCCGAAAATGTTGTTCCAACTTATTTACTCGACCGAGGTGGAGTCACTTCTGCGAAAGTTTTGACAAATATGATTCGCCAAAAGCGAAAAGATAAGGCCGGTAAATGGGTTGTTCCCATTCAAAAAGTGAAAGCGCTAACTGAAGCTGACATGTTTTCAGTTTATAAATCAGGTAAACGTCAAAAAAAAGCATGGAAAAGAATTTTGAACAAAGTAGTATTCGTTGGAGACGATTTCACAAGAAAACCCCCCAAACTCGAACGATACATTCGTCCGTCTGCTATGCGAATGAAGGTGGCAAATGTGACTCACCCAGAGCTTAAAACTACGTTTCAACTAAGCATTGTAGGCGTAAAAAAGAACGCTCAGTCGGCTTTGTATACTTCTCTCGGTGTTATTACAAAAGGTACAATAATCGAAGTTGATGTAAGTGATTTAGGATTGGTAACGCAAACAGGAAAGGTTGTATGGGCAAAATACGCTCAAGTAACCAATAATCCAGAAACAGATGGCTGTATCAATGCGTTATTATTAACTTAAGAGATTTTTGTGCCTATTGAGAAGTTAGCCGCCGTCGAATAATATTATTTTAAAATATATATTTATTGAAAGATTTGTAAAGACAACTGATAACATCCTTCGATTTTGATAAAATTATCTTAGTTTCTTTTGTTTTTAACACGTCATTTAAACACTCATCGACTTTTAAGTTACAATGATCAAGTCTAACAAAAATTCAAACTGCGTGGTCGAGCAAGATAGTTATTGTGGTTGGACTTTCGTGTCACGAAAAACACAGTCGATGAGTAACGGACAAGAAAGAGATACTGTTGAAGATATACTTGGTTGTACAACTTGTGAATCCCTACCCGACGAAATAAGGTTACTCGATGGACTTTTGATAAGTTATAAAACGTTTTCTATCCGAATATCAACAATTGATATCTTATTATGTGAAATTATTCAAAGCGGGTCTAAAACTAACTGCACGGGTTGTTTAGATAAAATTTGTTTGTGTCCCGTGAACAGTTTATTACCTACTGTAGCTTTTAACCTAAAAAATAAAGAGTCGCAAAATATTGCTCAAATTAAAACGAGATTCAATTGGAGTAGGTTTCCAATATATAAGCCCATGTTTTTTTCAACCGCTAACGACGAATGTAATTTAGTATACAAAAAGATCTGTGAGGCTCTAAACAGCGACCCATTGTTATCAGTACCACACCACGAAACAGATAATTTTAAATTTCGTGTTAAACTTTGTACCAGCCCATTATCAACTGACCTCTTAAGGGATAACTCATATCCCATAAATTTTTATTATCAAAACAAACTAGCCGTAGCTGATTTATTTGATAAAGGCGAAGCAGAATGGCAAATAAAGTTTCGGTCAACAAGTAAATATTGGTATGCCCTTGCTTGTATAAATTCTAGAGTCGATGGGAAATACGTTTATTTACTTGAAACACGGTTATTCCACTTGTACGGGACAGATAATATTCATCGAGAGATAGATCTCAATGTCTACCCCCACATTGTCCAGGATGGACACAAAACAAATTCGTCGATATATTATCGTAAGCAATCAATTTTAATATTTTTTTAATTTTAAATTATTTCTCAATGTAGACTTTAAAGTGCCGACTTCTCATAATCTTTTTGCACTGAATGTCCAAAGAGTTGGTATTTACAAAGCTTCTAACTTTTGCTAATTGCGTTTGTAAACGTGGTTCTCCCGATGTCTTAGTGTGTACTTGTGTGAATTTTGAAAATTATATTCGTGATTTAACAAAAAAAAATGATTTCCCCAGCTTAGAAGACTTTAATACAATTTTCTCGCAATTTTCTCAGTCAACTGATTATCCCGATTCAAAGAAATTAACTAAAACTTATAATCATTTCATTATCAGAACAGAAAAATATTTATCAAGTTTTATTTTTTACAATAACTTAGAATTCTCTAACAAATGGATCACAATATACGAAATCGCCCATGAACATCAGTTGCACGATTTTTCTCAAAGCTTAACTATAAATGAGCCGTCTATGCTTTTGGTTGACAGTTTTTATAATTATGCAAAAACTCGTGGCGAAGATTTTAACATAAAAATGTTTTGCAATGATTTTGGATCAGAATTAGTTTTGAACGATTCAACTATCAATGTGCAAGATTGGTATTTGATTAAAAATAATAAATGGCAATTCATAGATAATATAGGAAATTTATTTAACCCAGACGTTTTAGTAGACTCCGTGAAGTCTATAATTCAAAACGGACAACAATTTTCTTTCGTGTATTGTGGAAAAAGGTTTGTACGAAATTCTTTAAAATATTTGAACACTCAATACGAAAGAGAAATATATAATCTACACATCATTTTTTTCGCAGTAAACATTTTGAGAAATGAAGGATCACTTGTAATTTCAATTGATGAACCATACAGCATCTTTACTTTTTTATTATTTACAATTCTTCAAAAAATGTTTACCAATGTTTCATTTTATAAATCGAAACTATCAGAACCATACAATAAAAAACTGGAATTGGTTGCGAAAAATTTCAAACAGGTGGAAAAAACTTTAATAAATTTGTTACAAAAAGTAATAGCTCAGTTTTTGTTAGGTTCAGAAAAACTAGCTGAACTATTGGGGTTTTTAGTAATTACGTTAGCCGTTACTGACAAACAAATAGATGCATACATAGAACATTTAGCAGCTTGTTATAATAATTATGCTTTGTTTCCTTTATGTAGACTAAGAGAAATTGATAGTAACCAAAAAATCAAGAACTTAGCTTTGGCTCGCTTAATTTACGATTATTACTTAACCATTGGCATGCGTGAACCACAGATATATTATAATTTTGTCAAAAGCTTCGATATAATATATTCTGAATTCAAAAATCTTTTGGTACAGACAGATAATAGTACAACGATATTACAATTGACCGATCAAGAATATATAAAACGTAAGGAAAACTTTGTGAAATCGAAGAACAATTCAATTTTAATTACTATTAAGAATTTTTTCCCCAGTAAGAACCCTTCGTCATCCAACATGATTAATAAATTTATGTTGATTAATCAAAACAGATTTTCGGCAATTTCAATTGATCTTTACAATTGTGAAATTGAGTGTTTGAAAAAAACTATTTCAGACGGTATTAAAAATCAGTGGAGAATTTCAACTACAACCAGTACGTCTTTGCCTAATTTTGTGAGATCTACTCCTGTTTACAAATTTGTTTCGTCGCTATTCGTAGACAATCATTTAATAACAGAAAACATCAAACTACGACTACAGATAGAAGATTCGTTACCAGCTTATACATTCAACGACTGGATAACAAGCCAACGCAGTTCAGATAATTTCAATTGCGAAGCTGTTGAAATTTTGTTAGCCCATTTGAAATATTTTTACAATCAACCAGTCAACGTTCGAAGAGCTAAAAAAAATGTTAGATCTATAATAATCACGAATTCTTTATCCGTCGTTGAATATCTAAACAAAACGTTTACTGATCAAGAATTTCTTTACTTTGGAAAAGGCAAGGTCGAACCATTATATAGAAACACTATTATTTACGATTATAAGTTGTCGAATATCAACAATACGTATTACGCTCTAGTCAAGAACAATTTGGTTATTGATCCAATTATAGTGGATCTCTGCGGATATGAATTTGGCGACTTGTTTTCACAAGAATTATATCAAATTGGACTATTAATCAATATTCTATATCTAATTGTGAACATTTCGCAACACAGAAACAATGTAATATTTATATTACCTATTCTTTTGACGCGAAGCAGCCATAATATTGTTCAAATATTGAAGTTGTTGTTCACAAGTGTAAAGTTTGAACCGGTTTTCTTTTTTAAGTCGTGCGTAATGAGACATAAAATCGTTTGTGAGAACTTTATTAAAACTGATTTCATAAAAGATGTAAAGGTGTTCCTTAGCCTGGTTTTGAAAATTCTGCAATCTGATCAAATTATGCAAAATTATATGTTGTCTACTTTGCTACCGCATAGCAGTTTTTTTATGTCGAGCTTAAAAAATCATCTTGCTTATAACAACAACTGTTTTAAGATACAAAATTCTGTTTTATATAATTCATTTTGTTTAAAATGTATTTACTATGACGTTGTCAAATTACTTGAGGAGAATAAATCTGCCACTGGTTTATTTTATAACGAGCCTGAAAAAAAAGAAAACCTTACAAAAGAAGAATTTTTCAAAACATTAAACGCGTCTAATAATCTTAAAGCAGCCGCTCTTATCAATGAAATTAAAAAAAAGTTAAATCTAGATACTTCATTGGAACAACTCATTCTAAATGATTGGTTAATCCGAACCGTCCACAATTACAATACAATTGTAGACTTTTTAGAGCATAAAGACTTGGTCAATTTTGTTGACTCTAAAATTCAAATCGATGACACGCAGGTCAGCGTTCTTGAAAGCGGTATTGTAGTATCGTTAGCGCAAACTAGCATTAATAACACATTAAGCGACTTGTTAAATCGATTGGAAGATCCCGTTACAAAAGAATTACTGAGTAAACATTATAAGTTTGTGGATGACTTTATAGCTAATACTAACAGGAATCAAAGCTCACCAAAAATTACGTTTGAAAAGATTTTGGAAGAAGTATTTTCCAAGAGCTCTATTTCTTCACAGTGATTTCTTCTATCTTTCGATAAGCTTTGAATATTACATATATGGTTTTTATCACGATTTTGCGGACAAGCAAGATCAGGCGAATAAAAAACCCAATCATAAGTAATTTTTTAATTATTAAAACTGTAGCAACGATGCAAAAAAAAGAAAGCGAGAATTTGAAAAACTCCATGTCTGAACGTTTTCGTTTTAGCACTTTATGCATTTTAACGCTGGCTGCATACATGATCGAATTAAGATTTTTGAAAGACTTTAAAATCGATTTAATTCCTTTGTTAGTCGAGTCAATGTAGTCTTCAGCTGCGTTTAGTCGAGTCATTGAATTCAACAAATTCGCAGATACTCTATTAATGAGTTGAGAAGCCATTTTATCGTCTGCGTTTTCTATTGAACTAATGTTGAATGTGTGTTTTTGCAGCAGTTTGTTCAGTAAAAAATTTAATTGTACTTTTGTGGCGGCGTTCAACTTGGTAATTGTAGTTTGTAATTCCGAATTTTGATAACTTTTTAGTTTATTAATTATTAGACTAATTTTGTCTAAGCTTTTGTTAGTTTTAACTTCATTTTGTAATCTGCAAAGCTCCTGAATATCTTGTTGAATTTGTTTTATCTGACTCATCCAAGTAAATTATTCGTTTTAATATTTAATTTATTGCTAGCTGATAAAATTTAATTAAGTAAATAAAGGTGATTCGCAGCCATTATGCACGCTCTAGTACCAAAAAATGAGCAATCTTGATGTCAATCTTTTAGTTTTTCATTACAAAACGCCGGAGCAACTCAGCCAATGGACGTCTTCGTTGTTATTTCGTGATCTTATGCAGTTTGTAACTTTAGTATGTTATTCTCTTCACGATACGGATATGCACTGGGAAACATATTTATTAAAAAAAGAGATTCTTGATATTTTTTCTAGTGATTGTTATTTTCATCTTTGTTTTCTTTCGAGAGCATATCAGAACATTCACACTTTATTAGATTCTTTCGATATGTATGAAAAGTCAACAGACAAAAGTTATAAACAATTTATATGCAGGATATTAGACTATTACAATTTACCCGTCGAGTTTATGACTATGACACAGCATCATGGGTTCACAGTAACTACATATAACACAGAGCTCATCAAATCAAAAGAAGAGTTAATAGTTATACTTTACGTAGTCAAAAGTCTTGGTAATATACAAAGACAAGACTATGGAACTGGGCATGAGTTACATTTCTTGTTTGCTATTTTTTTGGCGAACGCTTTTGATCAATCTGTCGTGACGAGTAAGTACAGCCAGTTTGTTGTTTTTTTTGTTTTGCACTATTACTACAATTTGATCAGGCGGGTAATCAACAAGTTTAGACTTATGCCGGCTGGTTCTAGAGGTCAATGGGGTTTGGACGATTATTTTTTCATACCGTTTCTGTTTGGCGCATCGCAGTGCTACAGTCTTGGCGATCGCATTCCCAAACTAACAACAATTTTGGACTGTGCGAAAGAGGCTAAAAAATACTACTTTTACGAACTGATTATGCATTTGCACAAGTCTAAGTCACATGAGTTCAGTGAAAATAGTTCATTAATCTGTATGTTTGAAGAAATGTCGAGTTGGGATGTGATAGAAAGAGGTTTACTAAAAATGTATCAAAAAGAAGTCTTATCAGCGTATCCAGTGGTACAACATCTAACTTTAATAGACGACGAGCGTTTTAACTGCAGACTCAAGTAAAAATTGCGCTTCTTTAATTTAGATATATTGCTTATTTGTAAGTTTAAAAGACTGACAGAGTTTGCACCACCCTAAAATATATTCAATTGATATGTGGAAAATTAAAGTTAAAAATAAAAAACCAATTGTGGGTACTATTTTGAAGAAGCAGAAATGACTGGTGCTTCACTTAAATAGGTGCACTATATGCACCCATAGTAAAGTATCTCTAAGTCAGGCTCTATATTGTTGTGCCTTTTGCTTAGGATTATTTATGTCTTCACTAGATTTTACAGGTGTAAAAGGAGTTTATAAGAATTGTAGAGGTAAGTACCAGTGAAAGCTAAATAGATTCTTGGCTAAACACGTTATGCACAGGGGTTTGTGTAATTCTTAACATTTACTTTAGGAATATGGGCTGCACAATGGACTGACGAAAATGGACAAAGACACACAAAGTATTTTAACCCTAAATTTTTTCCTAGCGAGGCAGCTGCTCGAATCGAGGCTTATAAATTCAAAGTACAAATTCAAAGTGAAATAGACCGAAAAGGCGGTGTTTTTAAACGGAGAAATGGTAATAATCGCAAAAATAACAATCTGTTGTCCTCGCGCGGGGCAGTTTTACCGAAAGATACAACAAACAAACGCTCAAAGCGAGGCGCAAACAACACCAACAATAAACAACAACAATATTATTTAAATTATCATTTGTATCCATACTACAACATGCAATCCATGTCGAGCATACACACCTGGGATTGGAACCAGGTTCAAGACAACTACGTTGGCGACCAACTATGTAACAATAATTTTTTACAAACGCAAAATTATCAAGATCCTATGATGTATTACACTCAGTTTAACAACCAAAACTATAATTTGTATTTAAACGAATCTCTACCGATGAAACAGTATGACTGCGAGCTTGAAACCAGGTATACTAATAATACAACAAACAATGAGTCACAAAATAATTTTTACACAGTCTATCAAAATAATGACCAACAACATAATTGGTCATACGATTGGAATTATACATATAACTATTTCCCGCAACAGACGGAAAAAACCAACGAAGAGCTGGTGATAAACTAGCTTTTGGTGGCGTCATAACTTAGTTAGTATACTAAGTCTACTAACTTTAATAATTAAGTCAGAAAAAGATCTATCTAGATTACACTTTAAGTTGAAAAATCAACTTTATTTTTAAAACCATATTTTATAAAAATTGATTTTTATTCTATACCCTAAATTACTTAGTAGTTGAAAATATCTTGCACACCATGTTATAAACACATTGGTGATTTAGCTCTAGCCGTTAATGGCGTGCAGAGACCGAGCTGAACTAGTCATTTCCTAGTTATTTCTATACAAAAATATATTTTTACCTCATTTAAAATTTTTAACGGCAAAGCACATCAATTGTGAGGTTCTATTCACAAAGATATACTAGAAAAATCAGCGCCGTACGCTAAACAGGTTAGTGCGAAAAAAAGAAGTTTCAAATAAAAGGTCAATGATTTTCTGCAGTTATCAGTTAGCTGAACTGGTTTGAATTGAGCTTGGCGATTTCGAACAAACCAATGACTCCTGAATTTCCGCCAAAAAATAAAAAGTTTTCGTTGGAAATTAAGCATCGAACTTGTGGATTGTTTGATTTATAAGAAAAAATAATTTTATATTGATCAGGGTTTAAACTAAAATGAATCACATAAAATTTTCCACTATTATCGCCCAAAACCAAGTAAGCTTTATCTTGTTGTTTTATAAAAGTAGCAGAAATAATAAATTCTCTAAGCTTGGTATTAATCGTGCTGATCAATTTCATTTGTTCTTTAGAAAATACAAGAATGGAAGCCGAAGAGTAAACAAAATAATAATGTTTTTCGTCTTGTAATATTCTCATGCAGAAACCGCTGGACGTGCTGGTTTCGTGCATAAGTATGCAGTTCAACGTCTTCAAATCATAAAGTGCAAAAAAGTTTTCTCCACCAAGTACCAGATGCCTAAAAAAACAATCTCGCATCCCTAAGTTACATATAAATTATCAGTTACCACTTCAAAAACAGAAATGCCCTCATAGCTGTGTTTTTAAGTAAGCGATAATTTAAGTCACCATGAACTTACCAAGTGTCTGTGTTAACAATAGCACTCATTATGTGTTTTTTGATTTCATAAGACGAAACCAATGACGGTTCTTTGTTGTCAACGGTAACTGTAGACAGATCCCAGCATTTCAAGCTTCCACTAATGTCAAGAGAAAACAAATACTGATTAATGTTGTACAGCAAATTAATTTCTTCGGAATGACCTGCAAATTGTCCAAAAGGGGTAAAGTTGTTATCGATTATTTGAATGCTCCCGTTCTTCATACCGAGAATAAAGTACTGTGCGATCATTATGAAATAAGTCGCTATGTTTTCAAGTAAAAATGATTTATCGAGTTTCATTTGCCAAGCACTTTGATTATTATCCAATGCAAGGGATTTTTTTAAAAACGGATCTTCTTCCTGACTAATGATCCATTTTTTTAAGAATTTATCTTTGCCAGTTGAATACAAATAATATTGGTCGTTCTTTTCTGAGTCAGGAACACAAACTAAACTCAATATACAATCAGAATGCGCTTTTAAGTCTTGATGACCTTTTATAAGTACTCTCGGCGATCTAGGACGAACAACTGGTCCATTAAAATCACCGCTTCTGCGGTTATTCAAATAACTGTTTTTTCCCTTTTTTAAATAAACTTCACCTCCCAATTTTTTGTTGCTGCGTGCCTTGGTATTAGGCTTGTTTTTTATAATCGATTTCAAATTAGTATTTGACTTGGAAAACTTGTTGTGAGAAAATGTCATACAGTATAAAGGACCTAGTTATTTATTTTGATACAAAACGTGTATATTTATTTCGATATCAAGCCACAACCTTACAGCAGAAGGGCCATACAGTTTTAATATGTTTTCTAAAATAAATGTAATAAATAATTTTTTATTAATAGCGTATTTCTGCAAAGAAAAATAAATTATCAAATCGGTACATTGCGAAAATCTTAATCATTGCGCAGCGGAAACACTTGTTTGCTTATTTCTTTATTATTTCGTATGACAAATATTTCAACTGAATCCCCCGTCAGAATATCTCGTTCGGCGGCAGATTTGAAACAGTCTTTGATTAATTCTATACAATTCTTTTCGTTGTAATCTTTAATTTTGCTGAAATATAAATCAACTATGGGTAAAATTGCAGATGCCGACGAGCCTGTCGTTCCATACTTCAAAGGCTCAGTGTTGCCGATCGAATCATAACTATAAATGATGCCAGAGTTGGTGTCTGATATTCCTGCGAGTAAATTAAACGCGTAATAAGGAAAAAAACGTCTGGAATAAAGCTGCAAAGAAAGTTTTTGAGCAATAGCATTTAAGCTAGGATTCATTTTATGTTCAAAAACATAATCTTGGACGATTTGAGTCATTTCGTACTGTAGCTTGTCAACTTCGCAACTTTGACCACAACTCACAATGAAGCACTGATTGGTCAGCTTAGTGATTCTGCTGGTGTGGCGGCTCAGAATGCTATAACCTGCAGATAAACGTGTGTCAGCAGCTACTATTGCGAAATTAGGTCCTGCTATTGCTAAAGCAGTACCTCCATTGTTTACATATGGCGACCAAGATGACATTTGGTAATGATGTCGTTAACAGTTCGATGGCGCGATATTGTATCTAAAACAATTAAATCAAATAAATTTTAATCAATTATCTTCAATAATATTGCGCTATGTAGTTTATTAACAATTTATTAATTTAAACTTATTTTACAAACAGTGTATTATTTAATTCGCCAAAAAAAATTTGCCTGGCAAATTATAAATCTGATCTTGTTGTTTTAAATGTAGTCATAAAGAAAAATAAAGTTAATGTTTTTATTCTCTCATTTGCTTTTATGTTGTTACATTATTTGGGGTTACCGTATTTCTTCGACCAAACCACCTGGATACGTCTTGAGTAGAGATGACGTCAATCACAGCGTAATAAATAACGAAACCCACATAGCAAATTTAGTTCTGGATAAAAATTACTTGTTTTCTATGATAAAAGTGCGCCAAATCAGTCGAATTGAAGGCATTTGCTCATTAGGAGTCGAAATTCAAACGGGACTTGTTCAACGACTTGCGGTGCTTTCTCGAAAAATTCCCATTAAAGCTTACATTTTTCCCGAATATTCTCCTCACAAGAGTTTGAACGAATATATTAAACTTCAATACAGTAAAGATCAGCGTCAATCTATTCTTTCTGAACTAAGCCCTTTAGAAAATACGCACAGGCTTCAATTGTACGCATTCTCACTAGCTGAAAAACTTTTTTACGGCTTAGGAGATTTACAACAGTCTATCTCGAAAGCCATATCTTTAGTGAGTTCATTGAGTTACTTTAACATGAATCGATCTGAGTTGTTATTTTACGCTAAACTCATTTATTATTCACACAACATTCCAGTTCACGACAAACTTGTAGCTTTGCTTTTGCTCCACAACACATCAGAAAAGTTTTCTTATACTAATACTACGAGTTTATTAGAATATTACGTGTTGCTCACTTTGCAAAAATATGTCAATTTATTACGCGATCAGGATTTAGCTGAAGAACTTAGAAACTTATGCATTTTGAGACTAGCGCAGTATAATCAAATATTTGGTTATTTCACAAATGAAAAAGTTTCAGCGACGAACGACTATATTACGGACGCAACCCAAGGAAATTTAGTTATAAATGAACTAGACTTTTTGTACGAAGTCTTAGAAAAACGCCGTGATACTTTCAAAGACTTATCTTGCGCTCGACATTGGTACATATACTCTAATCTTCTTCGTCACTATCTTTGGAAGATATCTCATAGTTCTACAGAAGAAGAAATTGGCACTCTACGGATTGGTATCAAAAACTACGGCAAGCTAAGTCAAGATCGACTTGCGTTGCTTGCCGCTGCTGGCGTCAAAGAAGCAGAGAGCGAACTAGCTAATCAGTATCAAAGTACGCAATCATACTTATCTTACGTTTCTATTTTGTATAGCTTACACACAAGCGACATGAAGTCTATAAAACACGTCTTAAATTTGTTCGAAACAGAATTTTTCAAACTCAAAGAAGAAAATATCAAGGAGTACTATAACAAGAAGTACGAATTTTTATCATTATTTATTCATGAAAGATATAGGAACTACGGCAGCTTTCCCCAACTTTACAGCAATCTAAGACTACTGTTCGAAGCAACAATACTTGAACTTTCTGGTTTTTCCACTAAACATTACGGCGATTCCACGATCACATTTTTTAGACCTACGCCAATATCAGCTTTTTTACTTCGCACTCTGATATTTTTTTGTATTTTTGTTTTAGATACATATCAGATTTTAATCGCCCACTTAAGCATGAAATTTTTCATAACTCTGTTTGCGTTACTTACAATTATAACACTTGATTATTACATCAACCTAAACGTAAAAAAAACATAAAAAATATGATCAAATCATTGTTATTAATATAGATGTACTTATAAATTGTGATCTTTATTTTATAAATGCTTAGCAACTTCTCAGTCCATTCTCATTTTCACGTGAACGACACGAGACGACGTCGGGGTGAGAACATGTCCAATAACACCCCACCCTGAAAAACAATCTCGGTTTACTCCATTGATAAAACAATTTAAACCCACGTTTAACAACTCATCGGCCGATAAATTAGGTTTCCAAAGTGTTTCGCATAATCCAGTCACTTGATCAGAACCAGATCCAAAGGATACGAACCCATCTACCTTTTGCAACGTCCCTATTAAATCGTAACAATAAATAGAGGGGCTATTTTCAGATGTCAAACCTGCTAAAAGTGGATAAACGTAATAAGGATTAAATCTCGCTTTGTAAAGCAATTGGGCTAAATGCTGAGCGGCCATTTCAATTTTTATTTCTGACGTATGTTCCAGCTGAAATATATTCTTGTGCATACGGATATCGCGGTATAATTTGTCGATATGCATGCTGATTCCACATGAACCCAGAAGAATCTTGGGCGTTATGGTGTTGATTTTAGAAAAATTCATTTCTACCGTGCTATAGCCAAACTCACCATATCTTAAATCAGAAAGTAGTATTACACATTCCTTTCCTTCGAGCGCCAATATAGTTCCTCCATTGAAAGTAAAAAGACTCTAAAACGGATTATTTATACTTTGAAACTAACCATTTCGACAAACTCAAATACAAAATACTAATAATCACTATTGGTAATATACATTAGTATTTGTTAACTTTTCTTCAGAATTCAAAAATGATTTCCTAGATTAATAAATTTTTATTTATAATAATTATATTTTCATCGGAGAAAAATTTTCCTAGAGCTTCACTGATCACTTATATAAATTTTTCTGACTGGTGATCCCAACCAATAGATAAATCAACGTTGCTAATAGTAGAAAAAAACTTATTGATGTTTAGCGTATTTTCGTTATTAAAGTCATACCTCACAAATGTCTTATAAATAAGATCATTTATGTGCGTCTTGCTTAAATTGATATCAGGTAATTCCGCCAATACATTTTCAATTTCTTTTTGAGTTATCGCACCACTCTTTGTCGTATCAAATAACTCGTACAAGATTTTCATGCGGATAGTTGGGTCGTTATTTGTCAATAATTTGGACGTAAAAAGCAAGAATTCTGGAAATGAAATCAGCCCGTCTCTATTGACATCTAGCACATTAAAGAATCTTTCTAGCATCGGGAACTAAAATTATTGTTTTTTAAAAACTTACATCCCGTAGGTTTTCATTTTCCTTTAAATCAATCAACGATAGTTTTCCGTTCATATTTTTACTATTTCCTATAAATCTACAAATTTTTTTTAATCAACGTACTTTTGAGTGAGATAATACATTTGAGAACGCGAAAACATCAACGATTTAATGATTGCGACTTCATTAACCGCTTTGAAATGTGATGTGGTATTACTAAACAGAGTTATTAGATAAAATCAAAACATACCCCATTTATACGACCTGAATACGAACGTCTTTCAAACACTTAAGTGCGCATGCTATTAAATTAATACAAAATTATGCATGTCAAGATTATAGATTTTAAAAACTATGAATATAAATTAATTTTAATCAGCTTTAGAGTTATTCAACATATCCAAGCTCCTCTAAGAATTGCTTTGGAAGCTTAAATTCGTTGGCACCAAAGATTGTAACGTCATCTAAAACGGCAATGGGTTTCGGTTGCACCTCGATCTCGTGTTCATTATCTAATCTCTTTCGCTCACCGTTGTTATCGTATTCAACAAAATATAAATAGTGTTTACCATTTTTTTTTTTATGCTCAATTTCGTTCCCGTACAAAGTAAACAAAGATTGTGTGTCAATATCTGAAGGGGACATTATCTTTCCTTGAGTCTCAGCAGTTATAAAAAACATGAGCTTGTAGATAGGGTCATTTGAACTAACAGGGCTATCTTTATTTAATTTATCATTTAAGAATTTTTTTAATTTAGGTTGCAATTTCCAGGCTTCATTGGTGGGCAAAACTAACGAATAGTTGTGCCCTGGCTGTATTTGTTCAAGTATTGCTGAAGCTTGTTTTTTTCCTAAATTAATAGATTCAGACAAATCTCCAAAATTATTTTGATTCAACCAATCTATAGCGCTTATGGAGAAAGCTAATGGTAAAAGAAGAAGTGTAGTAATCTGGCTAACAATTATGAATCTCATAAACTATGTATACAATTTAAAAAAAAAACTAGCTCATATTTGTGCTGATCGATTTCGAACGTGTAAAACAATATATGATGTTCATGAATAACAAATAACTATTGATGATTTAAGTGCTACTTTATAATTAAAGATAACTGTTTAAATAAAATTTTTTTTTAATTCATAAAATGAAATAATCAATGCTGACACCTTCAATCGAGGATGAATTACAATCATTGAAACTCGAAACTAACAGGCTTCTTCAACTGTTTAAGCAGACTAAAGATGTTTCTTCGTACATAAATATTAATGTTTCTACAGAACTTTCTAATTATATTAATATTATCGAAAGACAGCACCGACTTCAGTTATTAATAGACGATAATTCAAATGAATTCTTACAAGACCACACTGACATAACTAGTATTAATTTTAATCAAGTCAGTAGTGTAATGGTTGAAGCTACCAAAATATTTTCGCATAAGGTCCAACTTCTACAGAATCAACTTAATGAAGTATTAAGGACATTATACTCTTTTTCAAATAATTCAAAAGAAAGTGCTAAAACAAATCAAGAAGCCTCAGTTAATGTGAACACCACTCCTAAATTAGTAAAAAACAAAACCAAACCTAATACTTGCAAAACTTTGTTCAATAATACGATTAACTCACAATCAGTATTGAATAAAAATCTATTTTTGCAATTAAACGATGAAAACTCAACCAGCTACTATAATACAGACGAGATGATTTTTCAATCATCCTTTTTAAATATTCCTTCACCAATGTGCTACATTTCCTCACTATATGAATTTTCTAATATGTGGGCATCAAGTAACCTACCTTCAGCGCTACTGTATTATTATAATTATGAACGTTTCAAATATTTTTCATTAGACTTTAATTATGATGCTAATGGACAATTACTCATTACTAACTATATCTATAACGTATCCACATCGCAAAATTCACATTTATCTTTTGAGGATATAAAGACAATTACGAATTTTTTTGAATCTATACAAAGTGAAGATCGAACATTTTATGATTTAACAACTGACGATTTCGATAATTATGATACAAGAAACAAACATGTAAATTTTTCGCACGACGATGTTCAATTATTAAGTCCATCTGTTTTGATAAAGTCATTTCAAAAAAAATCTAAAAAAATTAAAGCTAATTCAGCTCTAGCAATAAATTCTCATTCTAAATATAATGTAAAGCGTTTGAAGATTGTTCAAACGGATATGACAAATGATCATAGTTTATATTTATTGTATTGTCAACCGTTCAGTACATTGTGGTTTATAAACTCAAGTAAAAATATGAAATATACAATGCTGGATAAACTTAAAACATACTTAGGTAATGATGATCAACAATTTATAAATTATCAAACTATTCCATTATTACCGAAAGTTAGTTTGATTAAATCTTCAATTACACATATTTCAGCTGGTTTATTTGAAAAAATTTTACAAGGATCTATTCCACCTTCTTTTGGAATTTCAGTAAAAGTAAAAAAAGATAATGTGCAAATCACACATACTTCTTTACAACAAAATTATAATTTAAATAGCATTGAAAAAATCAATAAAAGAAATTCACTGATTGATTCTACGAACCAATACTTAGACAATACTTATGAACAATGTTTCAATTATGATGAAAAATTAGAACCAGCTCAAAATAATGACTCTATAATATGGGCCAAAAGTTTATTGACAACAAAAGATTTAAGTTCCGATTTTTTTATGTTTAATTTAGATAAATATGTTAAGCTAATACACGATAAACTAAATAGCTGTGAGCCAGATTCAATTAACAAATATTCTTTTATGAAATTAGTTTCAAGCTGCAAAGCTAAACAAAGTGAGATATGCAAAATATTTTTTACTTGTTTGTTACTTATGAACCACGGAGAAATTTATTTGGAAGGTAATACCGATAATACAATCTATTTGACTAGAATTACAAAAAAAAACAATTAACTAATTAATCGTAAAATTCAATTTACTCAATTTCATCAACGGATTGTTCTTTTAACTAATTAGAGATTTATTTCTTAATATCAGGTAATTTTAGTGTAATGCAAGATACAAATTCATTATTCGAAAATTTAAAAAGTAGTTTAAACTATAATAAAAAAGCAAATCATTCAGCAGAACAGAGTGATAATTCAAATCGAAGTAAAAATAAGTTATGGAACAAGAACACTTTAGATATACAAAATCTTAAAATTGAAAATATTCCGGATTTTACTTCACATAAACCAGTCTATCATTTAGCACTTACTAACGAGCCATTTCATGTATCAAAAACGTATCATGAAAATCAAGTCTTATCAAAAAAACTTTTAACAAACTTTGAGAGTATTGATTACGAAAATAAAAAATCAACAATTCGACATGATAAAATACGATCTATAAATGACAATGCTACTCAGTTAAACGAACTTCTAGAACAATTGAACTCTAAATTTGGTTTCATTCTTACTTCAGATCTTTATACTATGAATGAAGATAGTAAGCAACTGAACAACGAAATAGAAAATTTTAAATTAAAAGTTAGTAAATGTAACAACTACTTAAACAATAATACGGAAGATGATTTCAGTAATAATAATATAATCAAGAATCCAGAAACAATTCACAACAAGAAAAACGAAGAAATAGAATTTATTAATAAGATAAGCGTTGTAGAAAAATTACTTTCCTTACCTAAAAATTTAAGACATTCTGTTAATCATCCATTATCTTGTCTACAAGCGGTAAGTGACGAACAAACGCAGAGTAATGTTGACTTCAACACATTATTTAATGAATTTAGCGAGAAATCTACGGAGCAACATAACTTGAATTTTGTTAATATTTCAGAATTAAACAATAAGGCAGATTTCAAAAATTGTATTTCAAACGTTGATCATTTTGATCATTTGAAATTCCCGTTTAAAAGTGAAGTTAATTCACTTTTTGATTATTTTAAAAAAGCAGATGACTGTATACCTAACCGAGTAAACCCTCTGCAGAATAATAATGTTTTAATTGCAGACCAGAATACATTAAGCTACCAAGATATTCCACAATCGATCGAAATAAAACAATTCGAGTTTTACATTTATTTTGTTGCTGATCCTATTTATATCGTAAACTTTTCAAACATAATTCATGAATACTCAAACACTACTTCAAATTTACATGAAGTTCTTTTTCAAGAATATATTCGTGATGATAGAATAACGGAATTTAAAACATTAACAGAAGAACAGTCTGAAATTCCAACGAACGAGCTTGACAAAGTGCTAGATCAATTAGCAGAAAATGATATAAAACCCCAATATGCATCAATTATTCCACAAACGGAAACTCCAGACAGCATTTCTCTTATTGATACATCTTTTCAAGAGGACGTGGACCAAGTAGTGCACGATTCTTACTCAGTTACATCGAATTTGTTAAATGTCAAAAGCACTTCAAACAATTTGGTTGACTCATCAGATGAATTGATTGTTTCCCGATTAAATTGGATACACAATGTATTAGGTTCTAAAATAAAATTAATATTAGATGCGTTCAACAATTTTACTGATTACATAAACTTTTTTAAAATAGTTAAGCAGTATAACTTAGGATATTCTTTTTTCGATGAGATATACGCGAGTATAATCAATTCCCGTTTTAATTTGGTCTTACCAAACAAAAAAATTACATCCAACAAGATTTTATTAACAAAGCATTACTTATTAAACATACGTCATAGCTACATTGACTCTGTAAAAAAACTCTTAAAAAACAATTTTCCATTTCTACCTTATTCCGAGTTTTATTTGTATCGTACGATACAAAATGACAATAATACAATACTTTCTGAAAAAATTTTAAAAAATATTCTAAGTTCTCCATTTTGGGTAAAACTAGATATTTATCATTTTATCTCTCAACAGGAGATTTCTTTAAAATGCATTTATATTTTTCGAGACGGTTATTATATTTGCAATCCACCTCATTCAGACGATTTTGAATATAGTAATTTTAAAGTTATTTCTAAATTAGATATAGTTTTTAATAAAAGTACTGATGATTTTTTTTATTTGATCAATGAATCAAGCATTCCAATTGAATTTTACAATATAGTTCCTGTGGAATTACAAAACGTGTGTGTATCGAATTCTTGCAACTTGATATTGTTTAGAAATACATATAATTTAAATGGTGGTGCATCACTAATGATTTGTTTTACTGCGAAAATTAATCTTTTTCATGAGTTAGCAAACTGTTTTTTAAAATATACTTTGCAAAAAATTCATTTGAAAAATATATTAAAAAAGTACGAAACATCTAGTTTATTTGCGTCAAGTTTTTATAAGTTCGTTCAAAATAATTTAAATGAAGAAATAATCGAAATAAACGATTTGATTGTAAAGTATATAATTGCTCATAGAGATGAGTTCAATATTTTATTACAAACAACTCAAAATTTAAGCTTTAGATATCTTGATTTTGCTAATAATAACACTATTATCTTTTTAGAATATTTTATTAAAGTCAGTAATAGCAATGAATTAATGGATATTTCAAATAATAAGTTGTTTGACTTTAACAATATAATTTCTTTAGAAAGGTTACACACGAAAAAATTTATACTCAGTAATATCGAAATAACTGATAGCATATCCAATGGTGATTTGTTAGCACACTTTATTTTAAATAATAAGTATGTTCAAGTAATTGATCTTCAGCAAAACAATTTAGGTTCAAATTTTGTATTTGGGTTCGTAAACAGAATAGAACTTTATGTTAATAGTTATTCAACTGAATCTCAAAAACCAACTAATAGAATTAGGAATGTACAATTGATAATGTTAAAAAATAATTTATCAACTCGAGATTATACAGAGTTACGGAAAATATTGTATAAGTGCAAAGCTCTGGATATTCTAGATATAATAATTATAACAGACTTAAATATAAAACTCTCTCAGAAATTAGTATACCAACCTGTCCAAACAGTCAAAAGTCAGGTTCCTATAGAAATTCAAACATCTAATAGTCGAATAAATACAGCTGCTTTGCAATCAGTTCTGATTGAATTGTTTTTAACTTGTCAGCTCTCTAAAAAATCAATCACTTTTTTTGATATAAACTTTTCAAAAAATTTGTTTATCAAAGTTATAGAAACATTAGCTATGCAAAAGCTTTGTAATTTGACTTTAATGGCTTGTAGTGGCTATCTTAAACTAGAGCTTATAGCTAATAGTAATATTTTAAATACTAATATTAATTACTTAAACTTATCAGCCTCAGATCTTTTCAAATATTGTTATGGCAATAGTCAAAACGAGTCTAATTTGAGCCAACTGCAGGCTATTGTCAAGATAATTAAAAAACATTATGTTAGCTCATTAAATCTAGCTTTTGTTTCTTTCAAATCGATCCGACCTTCTATGTTTGTTAAATTCTTTTTAGAAATTACAATGAATACATCGCTAAATGTTCTCAACTTAGAAAATACTAATTTATCAAATGCTCACATATTTAAACTTGCAAAAGAGTTTGAGAGAATGAGAAACTCTCATGTCAAATGTGATTCTCGATTGATTTTCTTAAATATATCTGATAATCATATTCAAAAAAGTTGCAAACAAGCAAATTTTTTACAATCGTTACATAATATATATTCTGATTTAAAATTTGTCGTTATAAATCAAAAGTTGCATAAACACAAATTTGCGTTATGGTGTAGTACTGATTATTCCTTTGTTAAATTAAGAAGATTCCATTTGCTTAAAGATCAGAATATATATAAATATTATAAGATATTTTCAAAACTAATAACCAACAAGTGTTTAAAATATATTGTTTTAAATGATTACAATAATGCATTGAACGTTAATCATACTTATAAACTCATGAAGTATGGATTAGATAAATATCTATCAAAAAATTCACAACTGCTTATTGAAAATAAATTCAATCTTGTCAAATTATTTAATCAACACCATTATTACGTAATTCAACCGGACTTATTATTACAGAAAAATATTAATGCTAAGCTTAGCCGATATATCGACAAAAAAGATATTATTATCAATCATATTACTTACCCAAACAACTTCATTCATTATATAGATCATATTAAAAAAAAATACAACAATTTACTTGATACAATTCAGGGTACTAAAACGATAATTGGATTTAGCTCTACTCAAACATCTACGTGTTCTATACAACAGCAAATTTTAGAGTATTATAATTCTGAAATACACGATTCGATACTCTTATTTTCATGTATTTTCTATATCGAAGTATTTGATAATTTTTTATCATCATTGATTGATTGTACAAATATTCAAGAAGGATCAGAAAAAAAACTATCTTCATCTATTGAACTTAATTCAGTTATGATAATAAATTGTGGTTTATCAAAAGATGATATGAACGAATTAGCTAAACATAATTTACTTAAATTTTATAAAATAAGAGAACTAAATCTGTCTGTGAACTGTATTAATTTGTCTTCACAGATTGATGTAGTTAATCTACATAATATAATTGTTACAACAGGGGTAATTTATTTATACTTAGACTTCAATTTAACTGATACTTCTTTTCTTTGGGCTCTATTATTATATTCAATGTTATTTACAACGGAACTACAACATTTCTCATTAGCGAACAATTTTTTAAATGACTCTTTTTTAAAATATTTCATCAATATTGCAGAAGATAGCACTTTTGATTTATCTGAATTTAATCTAAAAATACCAAATCTTTCAAATCAAACCTATGCAAAAAAAATTAAAAACGTGAATAATCTTAAGTCCATTGACTTGAGATTCAATATATTTTCAATTGATTTAATGTATCAATTTATGATTATTTTATTCAGAAATTTCAAAAACCTTAACAAACTTTTCTTAACGATGCCATATTCTATTTCTTTTTTAGATTTTGTTTCTAATTATAAATTACATTGCATCAACGAAACAAATTCCAGGGTCAAAAATAGCTATAAATTTATTAAACAATACTAAATTATCAAGAAATACCAATATAAAACTTCTAAAAAACTTATACTTTTTTATTTTAGCAGTTTGTTTTGGTGCGTTATAATATAATCCGCGAAAAAAAAATATTTAATAATATAAAAAACGTGCGTTATTTTGAAAAATTGTGTAAAACATGCGCAATTTTGAAAACTGTATAAAACATGCGCAATTTTGCATGTTAATAAATTTTTTAACTTTATAGATCAAATTCGGCATAGTTAAAATGATCGTAAGAAGAGCTTTATATTTACTAGCTGGTATCTCTACAGCTTCTACTACCCAATATCCTGGATTTGACTTGGTTAATCAAAAACAAACACAAATTAAGCAATTCGATTTAGAAAATCCAGCTGTTCTTTGTAGTGTCGTTAAGGAAGCAAATAATAGCAAACACCATTGTTATACAATCGTAAAATTAAGAAAGAACTCGAAGGGTAATATAGATACTAACAATACTATAGTACTAAAAGAAGGTTTGCCTGTCAGTGTAAATTCGATTGAGGGTTTTATAGGAGATAAAATTAACGTCGTTTCTGTTACGCAAAAAGGTCTGGTTGACTTGGTTACTAAGGCTAAAGACCCAGCATACAAAGAAACTGATAAACCACTATTTGAGGCGCCTGCTAATATGGCAGGAGCCAATAAATTATATTATCTTAGCGATAATAAGTCCTTAAAAACTTTTACAGTTTTAGATACTACGAAATCTACTGATAATGATAAACAACTTAATGACTTTATACAAAAATACACTGTAAAAGAAACTAAGAATGGCAACAAAACGACCTTGGAGGCTTCTAACTTTATAAATGCAATGTCTGTAGGTCTGATTGGAACCTCAGTAATAGGTAGCTACCCAAAAACATTTGCAGAATATTATCAATCCGGCTCTAAAATAGATAAGGCTGTTCTTGACGAATTGTCAAAGCTAGTCGTAAATCTCACCGGTTCAAATGAAGCTGACTGTCACTCTAAAGTTTTAGATCACAATAAAAGTTTAAAGAGTGACGATAACAAGATACTTATGTTTTCTTTCCAACATGATTCTAGTGCTTGTATTGGATACACAAAAGCAGGTTTAAGCGTTGCCTTTAGTAAGGATTCAGATTCTTCTAACTCTACGAACAAAAACGATTCTAAAAAAGCTATGGCAGACGATTCTAAAAAAGATACTGATAAAAAGGATACTAATTCATCTTCATCATCTAAAGCAAGAGAATTATTTGCTTACGATGTACAAGAATATATCAAAAAAAAACCAAATTCTAACAAATTGGGTAAGAATGCTTACTATGGTATTATTTCTGATTACAACGAATTTGTGGCAACAACTCCCAGTAATGATAATACTTACAATCAAGGAATCAAGGAACGATCTCGTATTGTTACTGCACCGGTTGAATTAGATGAACCAATATCAATTGCAATGTATGATCCTACTGCCTCTAAATTAAGTACAGTTAAAATTGTATTAATTGTTATTTGTGTTGTACTTGTTATTGTTGCTATTGCTACTGCAATTTGGTTTGTGTGGTCAAATAAAAAATCAACTTAAATTGTTTTCTAACACCCAATCTATTATCTACATATTAATTTATTAAAACAATATACCTTAATTATTTTATAAGTTCACTTTTTTTAGAGATTATAAAATAAACTTTCACGTAATATAGAACATATCATAATAACAATGTAAAAATATATTTGTCGAAAATAGACAAGTCAACACGTTTTTATCATTGTATTTCATATACAATACATGCTTAAAAAAACTGTGTGTTAGCCCATGCTATATCTTGATAACTAGTTTTTGAAATTGTAGAAATTATTTTAATTGGCGTAAGCACAAATAAAGGTCCGTTTTCGATAATCTTACTAATATCAAAGTTTTTTTTTTCATCTGATAGATAATATGCTCGAACAAATATAGAATAATTATTACGTAAAAATAATCCTAAATAATTTCGTGGCTGTGTTTTTTGTGTGTTAAAAATATTAGCAATTATTGGTAAGATAATATTATAAGGTTTTTTTTCCATAGGAAAACCATCTAATATAAGTGCGTCATTAGCTGAAATTGGACGTAATTTCAATTCTGAACGAGATTTTTGTAAGTTAATGTTATTAAGATTAAAATTTATCACAGGTCCTAGTGGAAGTTTTAACAAACTCATAGTACTAGGATTACCCTCTATATTTTTACCAGATATTTCAATTAAAATTTGAACGTTATTTTCGTTACATAACTGAATCAAATCACATTGAGATAATCTTCCTCTATTAATTTTTTGAGCGTTAGGTAATATATAACATAGCTCTCTAATAAATAATTTCGTATTTTTATTTGGGTTAAAGCTACTAGTAACTAATATATTATGCGATGGCTTCAGTACATTTTCATTCACATTTGTATTGTTGTTATTAACTTTACGACGTAATGATGTTACAGAATCAGAATATTTTCTTAACATATGTTATTAGAATCGAATAATGAAATACTATTTATAAGACTTACAACACTGATTTAATACAGATGTAATAAGAAAGTATTTCACAATATAAAAACTAGAAGGCGTAATTTATTTTTTATTTTATAAATTTAGTAATATTTATTATTGGTCTAAGAATTTTAACAGATTAATCAAACTATTGGCAAAACATATAAATTATATTAATAATACTCATAAAGTATTATTATTTTAAACTATACTATAATTTGAAATTCCTAAATTGTTTAAAATAACACTGTTATTTATTTATTCGAATAGAATAAAAATATTTATTTTTATATTTATAGTTAAGTGATATATAATTTAGTTAGTAAAAATAAATTTTTACTATTGTTTTATTTTTAAAATCAAGTTACAGAAAACCAATAACTACAACACACTTTTATAGATCGAAATATTTAATATAAGAAAAAATTGATCAACTTCAAATGAAATTCTGGATCCGACTCGAGTTACTTGGTTGATATCCATAAATTATAAATTAATCTCTGTTATCTATCTATTAAATAATGAGCGCCTCAAAGTAATATTTCACAAAAAACAAAAATTGAATAATAACAAGTTTTTTTTAGTTTTTTCTATATTATTTTATTTATAAAAACTGAATTAATTTTTTTAATAACATTTTAGATGAAATGTCTAATGAATTTAATTTTCTTCAAGATTTTTCCAAAGATCTAAAGAAAAAATATCTAAAATTAAATGACGAAAATGTTAAAAAAAAGAATGTCATCGACAAAATTTTAATTGGTTTACACAGAAAAATAACATGTTTCGCTTTAATAAAAAATTTTGATACATTTGGAACAAATTATGAAACCGATGATCTAAATCAATTCGAAGAATTAACTCATATAACGGATATATTACAAAAAATAACTTTTAAATTCGATAAATTATATTCTGATTATTCTATCTGCATTAATAAAATAGAAACTAAAAAAAAACTAACTTTGTTTCAGAAGTTTAAATTAACTAATGATAAACGATTATCGGCCAAAATTATTGTTCAAAAAAAAAAATTTAATTCTATTATAGAAGCTATAAACTCACTAAACAAAAAATTATTAAAACATCAATGTTCAAACTTGTTTACACTAAAGCTAAAAAAATTTCTACTTATATACAATTTAATCGCTTTTCAAAATGCTATAATTTTCAAATAGCTCTTTCTGAGACTTTCCTGCATCTTTCTGTGTTTTATCATGTTCGATCCAACTTAACGAATATTGATTTTTAAAAAACTTTTCACGTATGAAAACTCTTCTGAACAACAAACGTAAATATGAGTAATTTGGACTTTCAAAAAAATTTAATTGCTTAAAATAAGTAAAGTATTCTTTAAATTCAACTGGTAAATTTTTAGTTAAAAAATCCATTGACATTGATATTTTTATATCGCGAATTCTATCATGTTTCTCATTTTTATCATTGATTTTTAAGCACTGCCATGGTAATTTTCCTTTTAATAAATAAATAATAGTATATCCTAGGCTCTCAAGATCATCACGATATGATTGCTCCAATCCTAAATGCGTTCCGATACTTGCAAATCTGACAGTTCCCATCCATTTTTTATTTTCACGATATTTAATAATATTATACGATAAATCATCACGAAATTGTTTTGATAACCCAAAATCAATCATGTAAAATTTTGTGAATACATCAGACAAACCAAACATAATATTCTGTGGTTTTATATCACGATGAACTATAAATCTTGCATGAATATGTTCAAGTAAGGTTAGAACATTATCAATTATTATTAATCCCGTATATAATGTGAAATTTCTATTACATATATTGAAAACTTCATCTAAGTTTTTTCCTAGCAACTCAATGACCAAACAATAATAATATTCATTATAAATACCATAATAATAAACTATGGGTATTCCAGGAATACCTTTTAAAATATTCAATATTTTTCCTTCATTTATTAATTGTGAGTAAGATCTATTTAATTTTTCGAATTTGATTGCTACATAATTATTATTTTTTAATAAAGCATCGTACCCTTTATAAACAGTACCAAATGATCCTTTACCAATTAAACTTGTAAGTTTCCAACGTTTTGAAACAAGAAGAGAGTTTTTTAAATAATCAAATGTATTTTTCAACGTGGTAACAATTAGATCTATGATTATATAATATAAGTTTGATAATCGATTTATAATTATTTAATTAAATTAAAAATTATGAAATGTTAATAATAATTCCATTTTTATAATTTAAAAGGTAAGTTTTAAAATTAAATAATATATTATATGCAATTGATTTATGAAAATGTAAAGAGTAAAAATAAATCATATAAATATACATCCTATTGCGATATTTAGTCATTATACACAGTGCAGGCTACTTTTTTTAAATCTAATGAAATTTAGATTGTATCAAAGTAAACGTTAATTTAAATCATTGATAATGTAAAAACAACAAAAATTTGTCATATAAATTTTACTATAACAGTGCTTCATTAGTAAGTTTTCATTTAAGTTATGATTAGCATATAACAAATCATTTGTGTATGCTGAGCTTAAAACTACTAGTTTAATCTGGTTATAAATTATTGATTATCACGCGTATTTAACACATAACTATACTTCCCATTTAATACTTAGATTATATAATGTTTTTGCAACAAAAATATGTATATCCGGAACAAATTATAATTAATGTTAAATTTAATGTATATATATTATATTGTGAAAAACGTGAATTGAAAGATAATGATAAAAAATTATTGAAGGATTTTTCTTCTGTATTTTTAACGAATAAAAGTTTTAAAATTACGAATATTAAAATTATTTAATAATAGTATATTATATTGATTTTTTTAGAATTGACTATCGAAAATGAATTAATATAGTTTATATGTTCATTTAGAAATTTCTATAATTTAACTAATATTAAAAATAGATAAAATTATTAAGCTTGTTATTTTTTTATTGAATTGTTACACTACACATTAATAAATTATTGTTCACAATAAAAATATTAAAAAAGTTTAATAGAAACAATAATTATTTAATAAAAGATTTATTGTTTAAACTATGTTGTTATTTATACAAAATAAAAATGCCAATGACAAATATGTTTAGAAAATTCTGTTTTTGATTTTATGATCATATTACTCTGTTATACTAGAGGTATATTTTTTTACACTAAAACTTTTAATTAGATTTTTAAAAAAGCATAGTAAGAAAACTAAAGATAAATCAATTTTATCCAGTCAAGGTTTATAATTCTTTTATAAATTTCTCAACTAAATAATTTACAAAGATTATATTTTAGTTTATGAATATGAAGTTTATTACGAACTTTTTTTATGTTACCTAGGGAAAGTGTTAGTTCAATTATGTTATGAACAGTGATTTTTTATTATATAAAAACTAGTTAGAACGTTTTACCTTAACTAATGACAAAAAAAATAAATTACTACTCAAAAGAATTTATTATAGATTATTAAGAAATAATTATATGTATTGGTTATTTATAATTTTATCGAAATTTTAACAAAGTTTTTTTGAGAAATTAAATATTTTTTACTTTTCATAGTGAATACTAGATTAAATATTAATAACAGAACTTTATTTTTTTAAAAAACAGAACAAATGCAATTACGTTTAAAACTTTATTATCGTTTTAATAAATAAAAATTAGCATTAAATAATGGTTTACTTTATCTAACAACCCATAATTACGCATCGTTAATAAAAAATTTCTATTATATAAAAATTAATAACAGATATTTTTTATTTTTAAATTAATAGAGTCTTATATGTGCTTGACTTATAAAAAAACAAATAATTATATGATTATTGAAATAAACTTAATTTAAAATTAAACGCACCAAATTAGTTTTGTTTAATAAATTAATATTATTATACTTGACTAAACATAATTTTATTTACAAATCTATAAAACAATAATTATAAATCATCTATGTAAAAATCATATATCTGAAATATAATTATATTTATAAAATTTAATAGTTCATCGTTCAGTACTGAATGCAACACTTTAACCTAGAAAATCAATTTACTGAATAAAAAAAATTATTAAAAATATCCGTTTTATGTGGTTATCTTATATAAGTTTAGTAGAGTATTATATTGTTAAGATAATAATATGAACGAACAGTTCTGTTTAAAACAAAGCTGAATAGGTAATCCTACATGTGTTACAAAATATAACTTGTGTTTAAATGTTTATATAATTAAAAATGATGGTTAATAAAATATATATTATTAAACTAATACAATTATTAAGATAATAAAATTTAATTTTTGCATTTCGATATTAATATTATTGAATACTGACAAAAATATGTTAGATTGGTTAAAATTTTGTATTTAATGAATAACATATGTTATAGGGATTAATTTAATATAACGTCTGAATGAAAGAATTGTTACTACATTTAATAATTATATCTAAATGATAATATTTAAAATTCATTTGAAATAACGCTTGTCATATATGAAATATATTTACTGGTAATAAGTTAATTTTTACAAAAAAGTAAATAATTTATGGTAAAATTCTCATGATGTTAAATTGTAATATAAAAAATTAAAATTTTTATACTTAACTCAATACTGTCATATGATTTAATCGGTTGACCATTTTCACAGTAAATGAATAGTAAAAATAACTAAAGCTAAAATAATTATTTTATATATAAGTGTGATTCTTGTTACAATATATTACTTAAAAAAATATATATAGAATTTCCAACTTTCTTGTTCATTTTGACATAAAAGCTTAAGAGAACTAAAAGTAACTTTTTTTCAAAAGTTTTCAAAGCAGTAATTAATAAACATGATATTTTTTTATTCTGTTCGTTTCACAATTATGTAGAAAATTTAATTTATAAGTTAATACGAAATTAACAACGACGAAAACCAATTACATGTGTTGAACATATCTAAAAATACTTTTTATGGTGCGAGAAGAATAAATTATCTTAACACCATATATGAATATTATACTAAGCATTATATTGATTTTGAATACTGAATTTATAAATATAGTTAGAAAATATCTAAGTCTGGATAATCAAGTTCTACCAATAGATGGAATTGATTTATTACACGATCCGTGGAATCCTAACAAACTAAAAGACAATTTAAACAAAAATAAATATGCTACAACGAATATTCATTTTGTAAACGGAAGGCTCGATCCCATTTTTAACGGTACAAAATATCAACCTATTATAGATTCTTTTATGAACGGGTTACGAATAACACCACAGTTTTTATTGATCATAAATAAAAAAGTAGCAAAATTATCTGATTTTAAGAATTTAGTATTAATTGAGCCAATCACATTTCATGTTTACGATGATGGTTATGATATTGGAACTATGATTTTTATTTCTTTGAATGATACAGACAGAGATCGACTTTTATCTAATTTAACTTTCGAATGGTTTTGTTCGAATATTCTGAATTTACCTATTATTGAAAGTCAAAATCTAGAGTTTTATCTTGAAGCATTCTCAAGGCCAGTAGTACTTAATTTTGATCGAATTACAAGTGGATCATTTAAATATTCTAAAGGACATAGAAGTGATGATTTCTATTATCGTGATCAACTGCGTCTAAATCGTCTTCAACTTGGTTCGTTGCCATTGGACAAAAAACTATATTTAGAAGTAACTGGTTTAGTTGGTTGTAACAACGTTATGAGCGGTGAATGTGGCGAGATGAAACCTATGTTTTATAAATTTAATAATTATTATAGCGGCGATAACTTATCGCATTTTTAAAGTGAACCTCAAAGTATATTAACGATGGCGACTGTTCAATATGTTTTATATGATATTATAAAGCAAACAGTAGGTAATACTGATTCATTTGGATTACTAAATTGTGCTTATCTAAATTATCCTAACGTTGGAGCCGGTGATATACTAGGATTTATTGGGTGTACTCATTATTTTATCAATAATGGGGTGAAATTATTTTATTCTTCTTTTGGAAATATAAAAGGAACTACGCAATTAGGATACGGAAGTATTGCATATATAAACTATATATGGCTTCTAAATAAATAAAAAGTTTTTATTGTCATGCCAGTCGTAGACAACAGATACATGAATCCGTTTCCACCTTCTTGGATGAACGACTTCTTTGAAAATTTAATTACCGTGATTGCACATGATAATAATTATAATGTAAATTTAAAAGTTTCAAACGATACAATGGCCATGATAGGAGCGGCAGGTGAACATATTAATGGTATTGATGAGTATGGAGAACGGATTAATTTTTCGGCTCATGAAACAGCAGCTGGTATTGTTTTTGGAGTATTCAGTGTTATATTATCATATTATTCTAAACTTTCATATTCAGAATTTCAAAGTTTACTTCAGGTTGCAATGCCAAAACATAACAACTTATCATCAAAGGTCTTAGCTCAGCGTCAATAGATCTAATCGAGTCATTAAAATTTCTTCAAATCATCTCATAGTAAATATAAATTAATTATATAAAAAAACATTATGTTTAATTTTTTAGTATGATTTAAAATTCTTATAAAAAAAAAGCCAAAAAAAATATCTTTTTAAAATTTTTAATTTCGATCGTAAATTTAAGATGACTTATAATAGTAATTAGCTATATTTATGAAATTGGTTTTTTATATTGTATCACTTTCGCCGGAGATTCAATTATTGTCTCGACAATATCTAATTTATATAATCTCATATAATTAGATATTTTTTTACTAAAAAGTTATAAGAATTAATAGTTCACGTATTTTAAAAAATCAATAGATATACAAACATATTATTCTACTCTGAGTTATAATTAATGGTAATAAAATAACCAAAACCTTTTGTTTTTGTGTATACAAATAATAACTGAATAGATTTGAAATAATTGGTAGTGTTTTATTTTTATTTATAATAATCATTTTACTTTATGAATTTAGTATTTATTAAAATATAAACAAAGAATAAGTTAATATTATTATAATGAAATTGGACAAGTAACTTCAGTCTTAAGTAACGGATTTTTGTGTTTTTAGACTTTATTGGTTTATCACTGTATCCAGTTGCTAAATTATTATTGAATGAAACAGGCTGATTTTGTATCATATAAGAATTTAATAATAAACGTGAGCGTTAATGTTAAAGCATAAAATAATCTGCAATAATACGTATGTAATTTCTTATTATTAAGTCTTTCCATATTATAATACGATTAATATAAAATAGAGGTTAAAAAATTCCATGTAATAGTTCTATATGTATAGAGTTTATAATAAAAAATTATAGTTGGAATTCAATTTCATAAGTTTTGTGTTTAAAGCTAATATATTTGTTTTAAAAGAAATTACTTTAACTAAACAATAAAAATAATGTTTTAGATTTTTATAATAGTTAACATCGATTAGTAGTTGAAATAGTGCAGATTTTTCAATACCATAATAAGTTAAATTTATATGGTAATAATTTAATTAGTTACAACTTAAATAGACTATGCTAAAATCTAATTATCAAAAAAATAAAGTTATTTAAATATTCTAATCGTTAATTCAGTTCTTGATCATTAACTGAACACCAAAAAAAACTCAATTCTATTGAAAATATTTTAATAAAGCCCTTATTGAACAATTTTTTTACTTATTTTTGCTAGCTAATAGTAAATATTTTTCTATATTGGCAACAAAATTGTAATCAAAACATCAATAGTATTTTTCTAATTTATATTATAATTAAATATATTTAAGAAATACATTATAATGGATCGTTCATCATATATACTATCCATAATTGTTTTATTGCATACCTAAAAATGATGTTTTTTAATTAATTATAGGACGATTGTAATTTTGCTGTCTTTAAATTCAAACGATGAAAGTTAGAATTATGTTCCCAACTAACACTTACGTTGAAATAATTTTCATTTTTTTAACTATATAATGCGTTTGTTGGAATCTGCATATAAATAATGCGAATTTTGATTTAATAACCAAAAAGTTGGTTTCTACATCTCAATTTTGTCTAAATAATTTTTTACATATCTTTCTTAGAAGAATAATTGCTAAAAATCGATCTAATCGTGTAAAAATATTATGAAAATAAATGTTACATGAATAATCAGGTAGAAAGTACTATCATCTGAATAAATGTATAAAATTTCACAACGAAGCAATAATAATATTATTAGCAGATTAGTTGCACAATTAATAACATAGAAAATAACTAAATTTAGCCATTTTTTTATTAAATTCGCTAGAGCTTATATAAGAATTAGCCATCGATATTTTTATTAAGCAATACTACATCAGATTTTTTATAAAGTTAATATATTTAGCAATTATTGCACAATAATATCATTGCTTAATAATATAACTAGCTTTCTAACTCGATAGTAAAACAAATATCAATTTTTACAACGTCAACTTAATGTTATCACTATGTAGCTAAATTTATAAAAACTTTTATTTAAAATATAATAAGATTATTTTTTTGACGCGTGTAAAATTTTATAGTCAACAAATACAAAAAATTAGAAATAAAGTACTAGAAACGATAAACGTATTTAATTTGTGAGTTTGTAAGTAGGCACTTCAATTAATGATAAAATACTTTCAATACGATATTTTGGTCGTGTTTTATATCAATAAATGCGATTATCACAAATAATATTTAAGTAAAAACGTTGTTGTACGAATTCTAACATTTACAAACACTCTCAAATTTATAGTATTGGTAACATTATCATGAATTTAGAAAAATGCTTATTTTTTCGACAGTGTTTTTTTGTCTACGCATTATTTTTTAGCTAGTTTCGACAGAAGAAATGCGGCTGATTTTATTTTTTTATTGTTATAATTATGTTCGAAAATATCTTTTCAAAGGATTTATTGAATTGATATTTTTGAAATGTACAAAAGACAATAAAATTTTACAGTTAGTAATTATGGTAAAAAATAATATTTCAATCGGATCGATTAGGCAAGTAGTTCAATGTTTACAATACAAATAAAATAATAATTGTTCATCATAACTATTTCATATATCATAAATGAGTATGCAACAAAGTTCTAATTTCTGTTTTTTGCTTAAAATCGTAAACTTAGTGATGTTGGACTATCGAAATTGACTGGGGAAAAGCTTAAGTATAAGATAAGCTCTTTCACTTGAATATACAATTTAATTCTTATATTAAATGAATTTTTATAAATTAGTTAATATATTTACTAGCGATACAAATAGTCACTTGTGTGACTTTCATATTATATTAATTGAATATCATTACAAGATAACATAAGTATTACTATGATAATAATAAACAAAACGTTGAATGTATTCATTGAAGTTGTTTTTTTTTAATAATAGTAATAAATAAAGAAACACTATCTTTATGTAATATATTATTTTGACCGTATAACCAAGAAAATATAGAAAATAAATTTAAAACATAAACATTAATCAATTTGAATATTTATTACAGCTAAATGTTTTTGTTAAAACATGTTTATTTAAGTTTAGTAGCTTCACATGCTTTTATTATTTAATGTATAAAGCGAAGGTATATGTTGTATACATAAGTGATAAGAAACAAATTATAAGATTTAAGTTATAAATTTTAATATTTAGAATAAAACATTATTAAAGAAATAATAATTACTACTATAAACTGTAATAGACGGTGTTGTTTGTCATAATTAAAATTAAAATTTGTAATACGTATAATTAAGCCATCATTTTCAAATATCATCTATTTTTTTGGTGATGTATATTAGTAATTTAGTAATTATCCTTAATTTTGATTGTTTCAATCTATGTTTAACAGTTTATGAGCGTCACAAATAAAATATTAGAAAAAGTATCAAGAGTTTAAGCTTTTGTCCAGTAGATGACAATACAAACATATGTAAAAAAAGTTATCTGGACCGTCAAGTAATT